TTTTTTTTTTAAAGCATGGAACTCTGTTTATCAAATGGCATATAAAACCCTCAATATATAATACACATATAAAACTATTTGCTCAGGTTGAAGTGGAAAAAGGTTAGACCAGTGACAGGTTAAATTAGTTTCGTCCACATCACCAGAGGGCGCTGCAGAACACAGTCTAAAAACTAGTAGGAGACAAGACCATCTCAGAAACCCTTAAACTCCTAGATTTGGATTTAGTCAACTGGTCACAAGTGGTTTCAAAGAAGCTCACAGACAAAAAGGCAAAAATTCCCAAACTTGCACTAGATAATTTCCATACATGTTTTTCTTCAAAAATTAGATAATCCCCTATGAATCCCAACATTTAGATAAACAAAAGAAGGAAAAATAAAAATGCCTCTGTGTCAGAAATGTTTCAATCTTTCCTGAAAACATGGATCCACATGGAAAAATATTCTCTAGTTAAGAGAAAAAAATTATAGATGATCCCATAGTACAGAAGCTTGAAAATTAGGTGAAGAAGATGAAACTAAATTAATGAAGGGGGGAAAAAATCAATATGAAAATCAAATTTGTTCTACCTGTTGGTTAGATCATGTACAGTTGCTGGTATATCACTGGCTCTCCTGCAATCATTTTCTTGGTTATGTTGCTTAGGTATATCTAAAGGAACATAAAAATTAATTACTCTTGAATTATGTTTATATATTCTAATATTCAGTGATCTCTTGAAATTCTAGAAAAACTTCTAAACAAAAGAAAACAGAAAATCACAATATGAATGCTAACAGGAAAAAAATCATTCAATTGTGAAAGTGTACAGATAGGACAGATACAGAATATCTAGTAATAAACTTTTTTTTTTTTTAATGTTTACTTATTTTGAGAGAGAGTGCAGTGAAATCGCACGAGTGAGCCCAATGCGAGGCTTGATCACTTCGGCCTGCATGTACTCAAATATGGCCTACATCTATTGCCTGCCCTAGCCTAGCTACATAATTCATACATTTTTTATGCATTTATTCCTCCTCTTATCTAATATTTACTGAACTCAATAATTTCTTGCACACAAGTACTGGGCAGTTGGGGAAACTGAATATAAAATGGATATTAGATATTGTAGAGAAATGAATTTTTTAGGTGTGATAGTGGCACAATAGTTGACGAAGCTGAATATGAGATACAACAGAATTATTATTAGCTTTTTAGATATGACATTACTATGGTAGTTACATAGGAAAAGTCTTCAAATTTTTATGGGAATGCATGCTGAAACACTTTCAGTGAAGTGTTACAATGTCTAGAACTTACTTGGTTTAGCAAAAATACAAATATATATATATA